ATGCTGTAAGAGTCATTTCTAATTTTCATGTATCCAAGTGATTTTCTCCTTTAGATTTTTTTGAGGATTTTTTCCCCCCTTTTATTCTTCTGGAATATGAGATGCCCTAAAACCAAAACATCAAAAAATGTAGAAACGCATAAAATATGTAGAAAACAAAAATCATCTTCTGCTGATTTCAAAAACCAAACAAAAATCTTGGTGGCATTATCATGTGTTTTTTTTCAATGTTACAAAAAAAGTATTCTCCCCCCCAAACTTAATTTCATTTTTAATTTCAAAATAAAGCTCAGAAATTAGGTATATATAAAGTACATTCTGTTGCTTCTTCTATATGAATTGATATACATGAGACTGCCACTAAAACCTGTGGAAACAAATTGCTTCAAAATCCATTTATAAAAGACCACAATCTAACTCTTGTCAAGTACAGTAAAGGAAAGCTAAAATACCGTAGATTTGGATTCTTCCCACGGCATGACTGATGGGTAGCCATTAACAAAAACTAGCTTTTTGTTTACCTAGCAAGATGTGGCTTATATATAGATATCTATATTAATATATATATAATATTTATTATTTGTGGTAAAATGGAAGCCATGCATACTCTTAAGATCATGGTTTCTTCCACCTTCTGCTGCCATCTGATATAGTTGGTCACTCTTTGCTTTCTTTGGGTGAGGGGGTCTTTCCATTGATAGGGACAGTCAATGCAACTGCTTGTTTGCAACAAATCCCGCAACTTGATTCTAAAACTGGCCTGCAACTGCATGAATTAAAAAGATTCATAATTATTTTTTAATTTGAAAAGCACCTTAACCAACTGAAATGCTGTCATTCCTTCATTAATTCTTCTGTCCTTCTGACCCCTCCACCCATTTGTCCCATCCTTTTCCGTCATATCCTCTTTCAGTGCTTGGTGATGTATGCGTGTGTGCTCACTGTTCTTGTATTCAATAAAAGTGAAATAAATGTATCTGATGCTCACTCATTTTGTGGCTCATGGTGGCTTTTCTCTTAGGAAAAAGAGAAATGAGACCCTTTACACTGGGCCTGTCAGAATTTCAAATGGTGTTTGAGCAATTGGTTGTAAGTCAAGTAGATGATGATGACCTAGATGATGATGATGATGATGATGAAGTGTTGAGTTATTGTGAGGCTGGGCCACAACAGGTGTACAAGTGAAGAACCCGCCCCAAGCTTTTATTAGCTCTTCCAGTACTGAGAACGAGAAATTCTCAGTTATGGGATTCCTCCTTTAGGGCCAATATCGCTCTGTTGATAGATGACACCAGAGATGCCAAGGAACCTTAATAAACAGCTGTTTTGTTTGTGTTCAATACCTTTCATCTCATCCAAATACAACCTCCAGATAAAGGATCAAAGAATGCTAATACAATACACAGAACCAACCAATTACCTCCTCCAACAGTTTCATATCAATATTAACCAGCAGAAGGAAATGGACTGGAATTAGAGGAATCCTGTAACAGCCAACTAAACAACCTATTGGCTGATAAACACCATAACCCCGAGTGGCCCAAAATTCCCAGGATGGACACTACCCTATACCAAGTTATAATAAAGATAATTTACAACAGCAACCAATGCCATCTCCATCCCATGTTCAGATAAGTATTCTGGACGAATAATCTGTTTCTTCTATGGTGCATTGCCATTGCAGGGAAAGCTAAAAAGAGGATAATAATGGCCAAATCCAGATTGATCCAGAGAACATCTTTAAGATGTGGGACATCATAGTTTCTTTCAAAGGAGCTGGCGTTACCCCTTTCAAAGTGAGGTGTCAGTTACCAGATCCAATCTCTCTCCCCCCTTCTGGCTTTCCAATGAGGTCAGGAGGAGCAGGTAACAAATCCTAGTGTACTTCATCAAAGTCCATTAATTAGAAAGAATCCCAGGTTTGTTTGCAGAGCCCCTCCTTGAGGGAGATGGGTGATCTAGAAACTTGAATATAAATATTTAAAAAAATTACTTCTGTGTCACTACAGTAAGTCAAAAGTTTTGTATCTTCTCCCTAAAGGAAGCGGACTACTCTAAACAGGGTTGCTATTGCTCTATAGCAATCTGTCAATGTCGTAAGGGAAAATAAGTAACATTTCATTCCCTTATCACCAAAATGTAGGTTTTAAGCTTGAGTTCACATCTGTCTTGGGTGAAATTCACTTTTTATAGTTTTTTTCAGTGCATGCCAGGCATACCTGCTGCTACTTCATCTCCTAGATGTTCTTGATAAACCAAGGAACCAACTAAGACTGGCTGATTAGCAGAGGCAGCTTGGAAGCAAGCACACTGATCTCCTTCTGTTGACAGTAGGTGATCAGGAATTCAACAAAACTGTCCCAAAGGTCTTAGGCTATTTGGGGCAAGCTCATTACTACCACAGACAACTCCAAGCTTTGCTCAAATCACTCCTGACAGCCTGGAAATTGAAATCACCCAGAGCCAAATTATGAAAGAACTCTAATATCAGCTTCTAGACCAAATAGTTCAGGAAGGGACACTCCTGGGCATCAGAATAGCCATTACAGAAGAATATCCAGCTTATAAAGAATATCCTACTGTCCAATTTAATATGCCGTATTTCAATTCACATTCCATTATCTTTGGAGCAGAGTCTCAGAGAATAGAAGGGGATGCTTTAAAGATTACCTTCCTCTGACCAGGGTGTAGAGACTCCTGAAGGACTTGAAACCTGGGAGGGCAAATGTCAGACAATGACATCCTCACCATCACCCAACAAGGTCTCAATAATATGTACCATTTCCTGGTGCTCATCTACCATCAAATCAGAAAGATGATTAGTATCTGTATGTATGAGATACTATTGCACACAGACTTGTCAATTATTATCAACAGATTACAGATCTATCAACAGATTCCAACATCACTGGTGATTTTAACAGCTTGTTGGTTTCCCCTTCCTGGAAATAGTCTCCTGCCATTTCTTCCTCAACTCTCACAACTGGACCGTAACTATATTCCTACCAATGCAATCAAAACCCACACAGACTACATCACACTGGCTAATTCCACAACAATGTAACCATCCCAAAATTAGAGAAACAACAAAGTCACTCAGTCTGGCTTCAACATCAAAATAAATCACCACACAAACCCTTCTAATTTCTACTCGGACGAAAAAAGTTTTGCTGATAAGAAATGAACTCAAGTAACACACACACACACATACTGTCTCCCTATAAATGGAGATAAACTTCAGCTTCGAGTGCAAGTCAACTATCTCATTTCTAACCTGCCATCAGTTCTACTAAGAGCATAATAGCCCAGGAACCTGTCATTGGCTTTTCAAAAGGTCCAACCTAATCTCCAAGACACTGAAGTTCCAAAGGGCAGGTGCCATGACAGAAAAGGCTTGTTTTCTAAGTCCTGCCAGATGACATTCCTTAATTGATGGGACTCATAACATGTCTCTTCTGCTGGATCGGCTGGAATGGGTAGAAACAATTGGGAACAAGCATCTCCCAAAATAATCTAGGCTCCTGCCATGAAGATTTCCAATGGCCACGGATAGTGCTCAGTCAACTGCTATCTCACTAAGTCACTCTTCAGGGAATCAGGTTCTGCAGACTTTGGATTAAACGCCTTCTCCATTTCTCTAAGCCATGGTAAATCAGCTTCCCACAGTCCATCTTCTTTTCTCTCTCTTTCCTACTATTCAGCTTGGATACCAATCTTCCTAACATTGTCTTGTCTCCTCTACTCCAACATCCTATTCCAAGAACTTCAAAGACTACTATCAAAAAATCTAAACTCTAAATTGAAACTTAATTCCTCCACTTGTTTATATTCCACAACAGCTTCCTTCCTTTCAATACTAAACTTTAGTGATAATAGCTACTACTCTGCACCATCTTTTTTAATCCACAAAGTACATAATGATTGAGTGTGAGCTATGACTTGATGAATGTTGGAAATTACAGAAAATGTAAACATAAGTAGAGTCTACACTATCTGGGTGACAAGACAGACCTCCAGTGTTTTAATTCACTATACTCTCTCTTCCTTGTCTACAGGTGTGTACTGTTCCAATAAACCTGTAATCTTTCAGCTTCTACTTTCATGTTCTCCTCTTCATAATATCTTGGCTTTGTCTTCTGTTGCTCATACTCAGCTCTGCGCCATCATTCCCATTTGCCTGTTCTGTTGTGTGTTTTGATATATGTCATTCCAATCCTGCCATCATGAATTCTGTGTGATTGCAATGCTTTATATAAGGATAGGAAATAAGATACTTGGAGGACCAAACAAGAATTTTCCAAACCAACATCTAAAACAGCTAGGGAACTTACAATCATACATAAAACATAGGAAGCAAGAAGGGTGGCCAGTCTCAATCTCCCTCTATTTTTGCACTTCAGTGACTAAAAGTAAAGCAGACTCTTCATACCAGATTCACATATGTACCATGTTCTTGCGGTATGCTCTGTTGGGTCCCACCCCCCAATTGTTTAAAAATCCTGTTTCAAAATAATAAAGCTGGGATAAAATATCTGATACAAATATGGAATAAAAAGAAAATAAACCTACGTCACTGAAACCAATTCAAATACATGCTATCATTTTTACATTACTGAGTAAAACTAGTGTACTTATGTAGCTTATGGCTGTGTGATTAACAATTTTTTTAAATCACTTAATTGAATAAATCTTAATGGGCATTAGCCATCGCCCACCTTTTCTGCAAAATTGTGTATCAGCCCTAACGTGAGCAAGAGGGTATTAAAAATGTGAAGCCCATCCATTCAAACAGCCCTCCCGCCTAACACTTCTTCTCCTAAGAGTAACCACTAGAAGTACTATTACATTTATCAAAATGTACTACACACAGGGGTGAAAAAAAAAAAACCCTCCTTAAATATTATCATCAACTCGAGGAGCGGAACCCTTTAAAGCGCAGCCACAGGGACCGCACGGACAGCTTTTTTAAGAAGACCGGAAGTGTTCCAATTGTCATGATCGTCATCCGCTTCTCGACGGAAGTTGCTTCTAAATCCTAAATTCTGGCGCCGCGATGTTTTGCCGGGACCGGTCGGTTGGGCATGGCGTTAGATCAGCCGGCAGTGTTGTAGTTGGGAACCGGACCTTTCCTAATAGCTCCTACGTAGCTTCTTCCGGTTTTTGAGCCCGCCCGCCTCTTGCGTTCAGCCGGCGGGGGCTCTTTATTGCTTTCTCGTCTTCGCGGGATCGCCCTTCCCAGGTGGGGCTTCACCTTTCTCAGTTGATATTTGTGTGAAAGCCATAAAAAGCAGCAGGTGTTTTTCTCTTGACACGGAGACTCGGAGGTCTACCGAATATCTGCTTTGGGTGCAGTTGTCCCAAAGGTGCTTTTTTCAAGAGGCAACTGGACTTTCTGGCACCTGGATTTCCAGAAAGTCCAGTTGCTTCTTGGGAAAAAAAAGCACCTTTGGCACAGCCATGACCTGGATGACTGAGAATCTCCATAGACATTTAGGATGCGGTTGTTAATTGGCACAGAACTGTTTTCAGAAGGCATGTGATATATAGATTGTCCCAACTCTCCCCACAACCAGCCTGCTGAATTTTCCCCAGGGTTGGAGTGTCAAGCAATAAAGTGATTGTGAAGTCACTCAGTCCTGCAATAATGTGAGACAAAAATAAATTTCTGGTGTTTACTTGGGAGTTAGAGAAATGGTGGTTTGCCCGCTCAAGGTTAGACAGACTGAGCAAACCTGTCATAAGGCTGCTCCACATGAACGAGTCACTCAGGATCCATTTCTAGCTATTATTTACATCTGAGATTCTTTCAACTCGTGTAAAATGTACATTTATCCCCAGACTATGGGCTTTCATGTGCTGATTTTTGGTTAGGTGACTTCTGTGGGGGGAAAAAAACGCTTCTGTGGATAAGTAAGTCTTAAAAGTTTTTATGTATCTTTCTAATATGGAAAGAGAGGGACGCCATGGCTCAGTGGCTAAGATGCTGAGCTTGTCGATCGAAACTTGTCGGCACTTCAGCAGTTCAAATCCCTAGTGCCGCGTAATGGGGTGAGCTCCTGTTGCTTGTCCCAGCTTCTGCCAACCTAGCAGTTCGAAAGCACATAAAAAATGCAAGTAGAAAAAATAGGGACCACCTTTGGTGGGAAGGTAACAGTGTTCCGTGCGCCTTTGGCATTTAGTCATGCCGGCCACATGACCATGAAGATGTCTTCAGACAGCACTGGCTCTTTGGCTTTGAAACGGAGATGAGCACTGCCTTCAAGAGTCAGGAACGACTAGCACATATATGCGAGGGGAACTTTTATCTTTTTAATATGGAAAGAAGAATATGACTCTGAGAATGCCTTTCATATTCCTGAACATAACCTGATTGTTTTGATTTTAAAATTATTTATTAGATCTGTTTATTGTTTAGAAAGATCTTGCTACCCTGCTCGCAGATGAACACCTGGTAAAATACTGGTAAGATGTTGGTACTTGGTAAAATGTTGCCTATACTGAAGATTTAATTAGCCATTTCAGTCTATCCGTAGCTTTTAGTACACTCTCCCAATTAGGACTTTACAATGAGGTAGCTTTCTTCCTTTCTATTTTAGAATGTATTATTTCCATTTTGGTTCCTTATTACTGTGTGTTCTGGCATTGGTCTTCATTTTATTTATCAATAATAGAAACAAAAAGAATAACCGTTATTTAATGAGAACTTTGAATCTTACTTTTAATCATTTGCAACTCGATGTTGTCTGGAAAAACATTCTTTGTTTCAGACGCTATCATTTCTGCCATCACAATATTGCAGGATTTTATAACGGCAAATTTTCTAAAATTTTGGACCTTATGTCTGCCATTTATGGCTGGCTTTGATTTGGAAATCCAGGGTTTTGAGTGACATTCTCGTCTAATTTATTGTTTGTGTAATGAAGCAAAATTGAAGGAAGCACCTCCCCCACATCTCCCTTTTCTAATATGGCTGTTGCTTGACTATTATTTTTGGGACAGGTAGAGTGGAGTCCTGCAGAACTTTGTTTTTCTTTGTCTTGTGTCAGAGCTTAGAATGGAGGTTTGGTAGTTTGGCCACGCAGTGCCAAACTGTTCTTACTGCCTTGGCAACATATTAATCAAATCTTTCCCACCTGGTGAGAGGTGGTATTGGAGATGGGAGAGGGCAGCTAGCATTGTCATACCGTCAAAAGGGACTGTTTGCTTCAAATATGAGAAAATTGAGACTTGACTCATCATATTCACCAGGTGGCAGTAGTGATATGTTTATTTTTTCAAATATAGTGAGCAAAAATGTAGAAGTTACTTGGATAAATTTTGAGGAAAGCACTGCAGCCCGATGTCTAAAAATTGTGTTCTTGGTACAGTAACACTGGCTCACATATATTGTAGTGTCAAAACGTATTCAAATATTTGTTTGTTTCTACTAGGCTTCTGAGTAAGAAGTTGTATAACCAAGGGAACAGCTGATATGGCAGAAATGCAGATGGACCAAGCTCTGGCCAAACAACTTTTTTTTGAAGGTGCCACAGTTATAATTTTGAAAATGCCAAAAGGAACTGAGTTTGGCATTGACTACAACAGCTGGCAAGTTGGTCCCAAGTTCTGTGGAGTCAAGATGATACCACCAGGCATTCATTTTTTTCATTACAGCAGTGTTGACAAAAACAATACGAAAGAAAGTGGTCCTCGTACTGGTTTCTTCTTAAATTTGCAACAACGTGATTTAAAGATATTTCACTGGGACGAACAAAGAGAAGAAGTAGACCTCACCCCAGTTTCTGAAAATGAGTCTGAAGCCATGAGAGTCAATCTCAAAGAGATGGACAAATTTCTGGGTCCATACCCGTATAACACCCTTAAAAAATGGGTCTCCCTCACTAATTTTATTAATGAATTTGTGATGCAAAAGTTGCAGCCTGAAAATGGGCAGATATGTGCCTTTTCTGAAGTGCTGCCTGTTCTGCCTGGAAAATATACTCAAGATCGAATTGAACAGAATCTACCCCAGTATGATACAGAATGCAAAAGTTATGCGGAAGGACTGGCCCGCCTTCCTAAAATGCAACTGAAACCTGGCACAGAGATCAGATTCACAAAAATACCCAAACAAATGTATCCTGAAGGTGCCACACCTGAGGAAGTTACCAAGCACAGTATGGATCTCAGCTATGCTCTAGAAACAGTGATTAATCAACAGTATGCCAGCAATTCCCAGGATGTGCTTGGTAAGTAAATATGCTTCTCAGATCAGTTTTTCATTGTCTGCATTTTTTTTTTATATCAGTACATGTATTATACGTTATATACAGTCAGGATTGTCTTGTAACTTTAATAAGCAAACCTTTACAAATGAATTCTGCAAAGCAAGAAAAACAATCCTGATAGTGAGTATAGAAACTTTCTTGGCCATTTTTGTATTTTGGGATATGAATTATGAAGCTAGTCCATAAGAGCAAATAGCTGTGATGATACATTTTCTTCCAGCATTGCAAATTAACTATTACTGTTAAAGAACCATGAGCAATTGAGTTAAGAAATGAATTAAAACGATCAATAAATTCTCGTGTGCAGTACTAGTGACCCCCTGTGGAAAGTTGAAAACAACACAACACTCAGCATTTAATGGCAATTCTCTGGCATTCTTTCATAGCAGTACCGCTTTTCAACATACTTTTGTAGCAAATTTTCACTCTGATTAAGAAAAGTTATGCACATGGTCAAATATGTATTCTAAGAATGTTGGCTTGTATAATAAACACCCTATAAATTAATCAACAACAAAAGCAAATAAATTTTGGCCCACTCAAGATTATTTGCTTTAAGTGACCTGGTACTTCTTACTTATTTATACTAAAGTAAAACACTTGTGCAATAAAAATTCATTTAGCCTGATTTTACAATTAATTATATGTTTGCTTCCAAAATCACTTCATGATCAAGTATAATTTTCCCTTTGTTGCGAAGGTTACCCAGCTGTACCCATTCTATGAGCAGTCAAAGGTACAAAACAGTAGATATCTCTCGTGTTCTTCTGCATGAAACTGCAGAATTGAGGAAATTCCTGTCCCTCTCTCTTTGATCCTGCTCTCCCAGAAAGCTTGTCATTTGCATTCCTTAATGTATGGATGAAATGGCACCCATGGATCATTATATTTATCTAGTAGAATAGAATAGTAATTGATACCTTATGCTGTAAAGAAATATGAAAGTCATCACAGTATTGTTCAGGTATGCTGCAAATACATTTTCTCTAAATAAATCTATACTAGAGCTAATCATCGAACAGCACTGAAAAAAGTGATTTATGACCATTTTCCACATTTATGACTACTGCAGCATCCCCATAGTCATGTCATTATGTTCAGCAACCTTTTGACAAAGTCAATGGGGAAGCCAGATTCACTTAACTGTGTTACTAAATGAACAACTGTGGTGATTCAGTTAACTGTGGTAAAAAAAAAATCATAAAATTGGCAAAGCTCACTTAACTGTCTCATTTAGCAACAGAAATTTTGGGGCTCAATTGTGGCCATAAGTTGAGGACTATCTATATATCATTTTCTTTTAACTTTTGCTAGTTTTTTAAGGCCCTTGATTCTCCAGAAGAATGAACATAAGTTGAGGATAATGGAATGGTATCTATATGTAAGTAAAAATCTACACACTTCAGAAGAGTAGATAAACTCAGTGGGAGACCATATGGATGGGAATTTGCATCTGAGAGATCCTGTGGGTTGTGTTCGTTTATTGCTGGATGAGGTTACACTATTGAAAAAAAAATCATTGGTCGCTTGAGATACCCATACATCTCTGTTTGTCCCTGGAAATATATGTTATCCTGTGTCTTTGAGTTTACACTGATATATCAGCTCAAACTTCTAGGTACCCAAGTATAATGTGCTTGTGATAATTTGAGATCAGACAAATACTGTGTGCTGTTTTGGAAGATGCTGTTACTTCAGAACATCTGATTACTAAGTGGGGCTCTGTTTTATACTAGTGTATGCCTAGGGCTAGGCCATATAATTTTGCTACTTCAAAATTACAAAATTTGCTACAATCTAGTTCTAGATCAGGGGTATCAAACTCACATTGTCACGGTGGTGTCACATGATGTGTCAGGACTTTGTCCCCTCCAATAAACTGGGTGTGGCTATGGCCAGCACGTGACGCATCCGGGCTGCGGGCCAGGAGTTTTGTTTTGTTTTTGATGCCTTCAGGCCACTGTTTGAACAATAGCAATAGCACTTAGACTTGTATACCGCTTTACAGCCCTCTCTAAACATATTGCCCCCAACAATTTGGGTCCTCATTTTACCCACCTTGGAAGGATGGAAGGCTGAGTCAATCATGAACAAGTGATTTGCTTTCTTCCTGGTACTGAAAGAAAATGATTGTCCCCAAGGTCATTTACTGGTCTTGTGCCTAAAATGGTCTACCTGTTTCCAATCTGGGGTTTAACCACTACACCAATTGATTCTAAGTGATGTTGGTTAGGAGATACTATCATATACTTAATAATATGTTAAATATAAAGCAACCATGCAACCAGGATTAATGCTAAAGTTGTTCTGTATTTCTTCCATTTTCTTGGTGGGCTCTTTCTAGGGGAGCTACAGTTTGCCTTCATCTGCTTCCTGATTGGGAACGTATATGATGCATTTGAGCACTGGAAAAAACTCCTGAATCTCTTGTGCAGGTCAGAGGAGGCCATAGTGAAACATCAAGCCGTGTTCAGCCATCTCATTTCTATCCTGTACTATCAGCTCAGTGAAATCCCAGCTGATTTCTTTGTAGACATAGTCTCCCAAGACAACTTTCTAACAAACACTTTGCAGGTAAGAGAATTTCATCTTGAACAGTTTGCAGCAGCAACAGCATGGGAAATTTGCCCAGTAATCATGGGATAATGTACCATGTACAGGTAGTCCTCAACTTACAAGAGTTTCTGTTCAAAGTTACAACAGCACTGAAAAACGTGACTTATGACCGTTTTTCATAGTTACAACCTTTTCTGCATCCCCATGTTCATGTGATCAAAATTCAGATGCTTGGCAACTCGTTCATATTTATGACCTTTGCTGTGTCTCAGGGTTATGTGATCACCTTTTGCGACCTTTTGACAAGCAAAGTCAATGTGGAAGCCAGATTCACTTAACAATCAGGTTACTAATTTATCGACTGCAGTGGTTCACTTAACAACTGTAAAATGGGACAAAACTCACTTAACAAATGTCTCAACAGAAATTTTGGGCTCAATTATGGTCGTAAATCGAGGACTACCTGTACATATGGTATAAGTAGGGGGGGAAATAGTAAGGATATCTTACTTTTTAAAAAAAGAACAAATAGAAGAAAAATATTTTGTTTTAAGTAAATACACTAAAATATACTATTGGATTGCATGATAATGCTGATAATATATGAATATTTGGCTTTTAGGAAAAATGTTTTAAAGTGTTTCTTTAAAGCAAAATCAAACTTAACATAAAAAGTATCCCAAGCAAAATAAAATTAAAAATTTAATCCTGAAATAGAATTAGATGTAATATTGTTCTTGGGTTATTCTCAATATAGATGGTCCTGCAACAAATTCATTCTCATCTTTTGCTGAAAAGTTTAGACATGCTTCCATATCTATGATTAATCTCTACATTCCTCCCAAATTTGAAGATTGAACTTCAGTTCACGGAATTCATCAACTAATATCTTAATTTGTTAAACATTCTGAAATTTGCTCTATAGATCCGCATAGCACTCAGATTGGGGAAGGCTGTTATAAAACTATCATTTGTCTTTATATCACTATGTGAACATGAAATAGACAAGAATTTATAGGCATTAGGAAAAAAAACAGTCTTTTTCCCTGTCCATATTGTCAGAATGGTATGAAAAATACTCTGTACATGGACATTTTTGACGATTTTAAAATTTGCTACATTTTCTATTGCTACAATTGCTTGTGAAATTGTGAGCTTGCCAGCAGCCTCAAGCATGCTAACATTTCTTCTCTGAGACATTTTTTCTAATATCTGCCTAATTTTTGCTCAAATGTTTTTATAAAAGAAATTAATTATTCCTTTGCTTTTCTGCATGCTGTCCTGTCACTTTCTCTTTATTTGTATTTGTAGGACAGTTTATTCATATTTTAGCATAGTTTCTCAGAGCCATTAAAAAGTTACAAGAAAGATGAACTAAGCTTCTATATGAGAGACTTTATCTTAAAAATTAAGTAAACCTGAAGCATTGTTGTTGTTAGTTGCGAAGTTGTATCCGACCCATCACGACCCCATGGACAAAGTTCCTCCAGGCCTTCCTGTCCTCTACCGTCCTCTGGAGTCTATTTAAGCTCACGCCGGCTGCTTCAGTGACTCCATCCAGCCACCTCGTTCTCTGTCTTCCCCTTCTTTTGCCCTCAATCTTTCCAGCATTAGGCTCTTTTCCAGTGAGTCCTTCCTTCTCATTAGGTGGCCAAAGTATTTGAGTTTCATCTTCAGGACCTGGCCTTCTAAAGAGCAGTCAGAGTTGATCTCCTCTAGGACTGACTGGTTTGATCGCCTTGCAGTCCAAAGGACTCGCAGGAGTCTTCTCCAGCACCATAGTTCAAAGGCCTCAATTCTTTGGCGCTGTTGTGGCCCGTCAGTGGCCTGTGCGGATTGTAGCTGATTCTGACAGCGAGGAGGTTGGTGTGATGCGCCAGCACCCTGTGCAGCTGGCACCCGAGTCAGACAATGAGGAGGCTGGAGAAGAAGTGGTGCCAGAGGCAGGGATTCAGCCAGGTCCTTCAGAACCTCCAGAAGCTCCTTTAAGTGAAGAGGACGAAGAGGAGGAGCCTCTTCTCGATGCAAGGGCGCAGAGCTGCCAAAAGGCAGGAGTGGCTCCTCAGGAGGAGGTCTCCTCGAAAGTAAGGCTTGGGGCTAATTGGCCAGTCCCTTAGCCTATTTAAGGAGGAACGCCGACTGAAGCAATTTGTAGGGAACAACTTGAGTTCACTCTACTTCGCGTCTGGATTCTCTGCAAATTGCTTCTGGGCTTTCTGCCAACCTTAGTAAGATTGTGATTACTTTATCTTTGGTTTCTTGTCACCTGTTAAGAAAGTTTATTAACAGCCTTTGTTTTGAAAAAGACTGAGTTATTTTATTAAATTAAGTTTTGTACAAACTTTGTGTGTGCTGTGTTCTTTGGGATCCGTAGCTGGGGCAGAACAGGCGCTCAGCCTTTCTTATGATCCAACTTTCACAGCCATACATTGCAACTGGGAAAACCATAGCCTTGAGTATATGTACTTATGTTGGCAGGGTGATGTCTCTGCTTTTTAGTAAGCTATCTAGATTTGCCATAGCTTTCCTCCCCATGTTCTGCCCCAGCTACGGACCCCAAAGAACCCAGCACACACAAAGTCTGTACAAAACTTAAATTTACTAAAATAACTCAATCTTGTCCAAACAAAGGCTGTTAATAAACTTTCTTAACAGTCAACAAGAAACCAAAGATAAAGTAATCACAATCTTACTAAGGTTGGCAGAAAGCCCAGAAGCAATTTGCAGAGTCCAGACGCGAAGGAGAATGAACTAAAGTTGTTCCCTACAAATTGCTTCAGTCGGCGTTCCTCCTTAAATAGGCTAAGAGAGTGGCCAATTAGCCCCAAGCCTTACTCTCGAGGAGACCTCCTCCTGAGGAGCCACTCCTGCCTTTTGGCAGCTCTGCACGCCAATGCATCGAGAGGAGGCTCCTCCTCTTCGTCCTCTTCACTTAAAGGAGCTTCTGGAAGTTCTGAAGGCCCTGGCTGAATCCCTGCCTCTGGCACCACATCTTCTCCAGCCTCCTCATTGTCTGACTCGGGTGCCAGCTGGCGCAGCACCACACCAGCCTCCTCGCTATCAGAATCAGCTACAATCCGCACAGGCCACTGACAGGCCACAACACCCCAGGAGCAAGCATCTTTTAATTTCTTGGCTGCAGTCCCCATCTGCGGTGATCTTGGAGCCCAGGAAAATAAAATCTGTCACTACCTCCATTTCTTCCTCATATACTGTATTTGCCAAGAATGGAGAGGGCCGGATGCCATGATCTTAGTTTTCTTAATGTTGAGTTTCAAGCCAACTTTTTCACTCTCCTTCTTCACCTGCATCAAGAGGCTCTTTAGTTCCGGTATCATCTGCATATCTGAGGTTGTTAATATTTTTCCCGGCAATCTTAATTCCAATTTGTGATTCATCTAGCCCCGCCTTTCTCGTGATGTGCTCTGCATATAAGTTAAATAGGCAGGGTGACAGTTTATAGCCTTGCCGGACTCCTTTCCCAATTTTGAACCAATCAGTGGTTCCATGTCCAGTTCTCACTGTTGCTTCTTGACCTGCATATAGGTTTCTCAAGAGACAAATAAGATGGTCTGGTACTCCCATCTCTTTAAGAACTTGCCGCAATTTGTTGTGATCCACACAATCAAAGGTTTTAGCATAGTCGATGAAGCAGAAGTAGATGTTTTTCTGGAACTCCCTAGCTTTCTCCATGATCCAGCATATGCCTGAACTTCTGGTAATTCCCAATCCACATACTGCTGGAGCCTAGTTTGTAGGATTTTGAGCATAACTTTACTAGCATGTGAAATGAGTGCAATGGTGCGGTAGTTTGAACATACTTTGGCAATGTCTTTCTTTGGAATTGGAATATAAACTGACCTTTTCCAATCCTGTGGCCACTGTTGAGTTTTCCAAATTTGCTGGCAAATTGAGTGTAGCACTTTTACTGCATCGTCTTTTAAACTTGAAGCATAAATATAGTTAATTTTGTCAATTTCCAAAATGTCTCAATCAGAGAATTTCTAGACATTTAGGCCTAATCATTTTTGAGGGCTAGACAGTAGACAGAAAAGGAACAGAAAGTCCCCATGTATGCAGAGAACCCAATAGTATTTTGAATCCTAACCATGGATAGTTTTTTGTATTTTCTGCACACTCCTACAACAATCTTCTTAACAAATTGAAATTCAATGAAGCTGCATAAATGCAGATTGTTTCATTACAACATTGAAGCCAGGTTTTTTTTTTTAACTAGATAGATGAAAAAGGTCTTAGCTCTTTTATGGCTTTTATAAGAAAGAGTTTTGTTTAGCAGATGGCCATTAACGGATTTCAAGAAAGCCATTAAGTGCATATCTGTTTCATTCACCTATTTCCTTCCTTATGTATCATGTCTAATGAAGAACTTTTGGAAACTCAGTGGCCTGCAACTGCTTATTGACCTGAGTAAACTTATTTGTTTTTCAGGTATTGGCTAATCCTTTTAGATATGTTTTCCCCATCTTCTCTTTCAGTAAAGGCTCTTTGTTCCTCACTAGAGAGGCATGAAAAAAATCCAAGAGAGAGCAAGGGTCTGAATACTATAGAAAAATTATAATAATAATAACTTTATTGTCATTGTACATGTATACACAGTATACCCATACAATGAAATTCACTTAACACCCAAAGACCAGGTCCAACGCACATAACAATCCCCAAACACACTCCCACCCACCGCAATTCTCCACCCCTAAACCACCCAAATATCCACACAACAGACCAAGTAATACTGTCCAACCGCTCCCTTTAGTTCATTGTTGAGTACAATTATAGCTCTGGGATAAAAACTATTCAGAAAATGTGTGGTGCGAGTTTTAATATTTCTGTATCTTCTGCCAGAAGGCAACAGTCCAAAAAGATTGTAAGCAGGATGGGAAGAGTCTCTGAGAATGTTATGCAATTTTCTCAAACAGCGAGATTCGAAGATGTCATCCAGGGCTGGTAGCTGGAGTCCGATAATATTCTGGGCAGTTTTAATAATTCTCTGTAGAGCTTTTTTGTCTGCTACCAAGCTTCTCCCATACCATGCAAGAATGCCATATGTCAGGACACTCTCAATGGTGCTGCAATAGTAGGACAGAAGTAGATGCTGAGATAGATTTATAAGAGTAAAATATGTCAAATGAAGATCTAATGGACTGGAAAACTGGTTGAAGTGGGCAGGTTAATGGGAAGGATGAAGTGGACCCATGTATATACAAGAAGTCCTCAACTTACAACAGTTCATTTAGTGACTGTTGAAGGTTAAACCATCATTGAAAAAAGTGACTTATGACCATTTTCCACACTTAGAACCAATCCAGCATCTCCATGGTCACCTGATCAGAATTCAGACAGTTGGCAACTGACTCATAATTAATGACGGTTGCAATGTCCTCGGTTTATGTGATCACCTTTTGTGACCTTTTGACAAACAAAGTCAGTGGGGAAGCCAGATTCACTTAACAACCGTGAAACTAACTGAACTGCCATCATTCACTTAACAACTGTGGCAGAGAAGGTCATAAAATGGGGCAAAATTCACTTAACAAATGTCTTGCTGAGCGACATAAATTTTGGGCTCAATTGTGGTCGTAAGTCGAGGACTACCTGTATTTGCTGATTGGCAATCAAATCAAATCAAACCTTTACTATCAATGCACAACATGTGTACAATGAAATTGAATGGGAAATTTTGTGTTGATGGGCTGATACCAAGGAAAATGTTCTGAAGATTCACAGGTGGGCAGTGAGGATTGATAGCAGATCTTTAGGGTGGAAGACCAAGGCCCAATGTGTACTTTTATGCATGTAACAAATGGCAGATGGTTTTAATAGACATTCAGAAGAGGAGACGTAAATGTTTCAAAAATAAAACAGGACACGATGCCAAAAGTTTGGGAATCCTTGTTTAGATTCTTTCCTCCTTACTTGAGCCTACAATAGAACTATGTTTGCTTTTACCGTAGCTCTCAATCTGTTGCCTTGGAAATCATTATGTTTAACAAATTTAGAACAGTAGAAAAAAAATTAGGAGATTGAATTTTTAAATTTTAATGATGGGTCAAATACAAATATAAATAAAAAGCTAATGGATTTGTGTAAAAAATACCAAAATTCCAGTAGCTTCTAAACATATAGTCTTAATATAATTTGAATAATATGAAAAGCGTTTCTCTCTCTCTCATGTTCTTTAATGAAGGAAAAACAGAAAATGGGTCAGATCTGGCTGGGAGCTGCAGAACAAAAAAATAAAATAAATGCAGACACCCCCCCCCATCCAGCGCAATGCTCTGGGAGAAGCAATTGAGCAGCAGTATAGCATGCTGCAGAACTGCTTCATTCTGAACCCATGACCCAGAGGAGGGCTTCTGTTAAAGAGTTGGAAATAATTCTAGAAGCCATGTGTCGCATGCATTCCCTGTATTGTTCTTTACATCAGATCTGCTCTGAATAGCCTCTTAATCGTACCTTTTCCTTTGTCTCTTTGCCTATATTGTTTGCCACTGTCTTTTTCTCATATCCACATTATAGTGCATCTTTCAGTCATTCTCACTTTTATAGCATTCTCTTTCAAATAATCCTTAGATTACATTTAGCCACCGTTCAAAGTTGTAACAGCACTTAACAAGGGGGACTTACAACCAGTCTTTCAAGTTGAGGCCATCGCAGAGCCCCGTGTGATTGTGATTCAGGCACTTGGCAACCAGCTCACACTTACGGTTTGCCATCATGGTTATTTTTCTATTTATGATATATACCAGTGATGGCTAACCTTTTTGCCGTTGCGTGCCAAAAGTGGGGGTCGCGTGAGGGGTCGTGGGTGCGTGTGCCCACATCCATAATTCAATCTGCCCGCCCTCCCGTGCATGTGCACGTGACCCCCCCACACACACACTTCCCCCTGCTTTTGGCACGCAATGGCACAGTGGGCCCGGTAGACCCGTTTTTCCACCTCCCCAGGCTCCAGAGGCTTTCTAGGAGTCTGGGGAGGGCAAAAACAGCCTTCCCCATCCTTCCGGAGGCCGGAAACAGCCAGTTTCCCGACTTCCGGTGGGACCGGAAGGCCTGAAAATCAGTTGCCCGGTGCGTGCGTGCACGCTGGAGCTGAGTTAGGGCAACACTTGCATGCCCACCAATATGGCTCTGCGTGCCACCTGTAGCACCCGTGCCATAGGTTCGCCATCACGGATATATATTCTTCTTAGATGATCACGGGACCATTCAGCATTAGACTAAAAAAATATGGTCAGCCTAAAATTTAATGTTCATTCTGGTCACATTAGACTGAACTATCTTTCTCTTAAAGGATGACCCAATTTGAAGGGGGGTATAGGGTTGTCTATTCTATTCTAAAGTGTTGTATTAATTGATGTGTAATGTATTTTTTAGGTATTCTTCTCTTACACTTGTAATCCAGCTGTTGACAGGACTCTGAGGAAGAAGGCAGAAAGATTTAAAGCCCATCTAACCAAGAAATTCAAGTGGGACTTTGAGGCTGAACCAGAGGACTATGCCCCCATTGTTGTTGAACTACCAGAAGGAACATTTGTGGACTGAACATGACTCTGTTTTTTTTTAATATTACTATAATTTTCCAGTTGTACCATATGTTTCAGCTGTTAAACACATTCATCATGTTTTGCTTCTTTTTGTACATACAGAACAATGAGATGGTGTAGCAAGGATTTTTTTCCTTGTAGAAAAAGTAGACAAGATGGTACCTAGTCTGTCCTATAAATGAATTTATTCCCACATTGTTCCTTATTTCACTACAAAAATGAATACTGTAACATGTTTTGAACAATATTGAAAAAGGAAATACCAAATGCTACTGTTTGAGTTAGTCCAGTACTAATTGTTTTCATTGATTTTATTTTGTAGTGGAGCTTTAGACTGCATTAGAGTTGTTCCCATTCCATCAGTTTTATTTCATCCACTCCTAGTTGTTCTTACCCTTTTAAAAATATAAAACTGCAAAGGGAGTTACTGTGAATTGAACAAAAAAAAATCGGCATTTTAGCTTTGACAGTATTCTGTCTAAGCTGTTTCTAGAAAGCTACACTGAATGTTCTCCCTTCTTTTTAGAATGTCCTTTCAGGACAGGCTGCTTTCTGCTGTTACTTCATAGGAATGAAATTGTTATAAAATAGCCTGAAGCAAGCATAGGGCCCGTTATCTTGTAATGTTTTCTCTGGGGTGCAGGATGCTGTTAAATTTTTCAAACATTCCCTAGTATGTGAAGATTTAACTTGCTCATTTCTTTTCAGGCTATAAGACTCCTTCAAGGGTTGGTATGCCTATAAAACAAAATAACTTGCATTACTGTTCAACACAATAAAACTGTCTATATCAGTTTGCCTATGAATTCTCTCCAGCATCTTCTTTATATGAATTTTCTAAAGGTGTGTGCTTGTGCTTGCTTATTTGTTGTTCTGTCCCCCTTCCTCACACAGGCAAACGTAATACCAAGCATGCCTGCCAATATTTTATTAGGTAAACAGATTAGAATTCTTGGCAGACCAAGGTTTTGACAGCAAACTGCTGAATGCCTGCCAAGACCATTTTCACTCCCATAAAGCAGAAGAGGACTTATCTTCAGCCTGTTCCAGGAGCAACACATTATCCACGAGACAAGAGTTTAGTCAATGTTCAGTCCAAAATATATCCAAGCCGAATTTCAGAGATCACGATGTGACTTTCAGGGTTTAACTTTGTCCGTCACAAAGCCTGAAGAGCAATCCCACCCACTTTTATTCCTGGTGGGGCGTGGCTCCGTGACTCAGCTCAATCTCTGGCCCTCCCACGCCTCTTCCGTTGTTGCACACACTTCTCCCTCCAACGCTGCCTGGGATCAAGCCAGGATTCATCATCCTCGCTCCCTATCAATTGGTGCTCCGATATGCCTTCCTCCTGGCACATCCCAGGCTGTTCCTCCTGGCCTTCAGATGGAACCTGAGGCATTGCCAGAAAGGAGGGTCCTGGAGAGGGAGGCCTTGTCAGTTCCTCCCCATCACCTTCTGAGTCCTCTTTCTCTGTTAGGACAGGCTCGGGAGTCGGGGTCACAACATTTGTTTTATTAAATTTATATGCCACTCATCTCACTATTGAAGCGACTGGGAGGCTTAGTCATTACTGATAGTGGTATGATTGAGATAAAATACCATTTATCATCCTTACAACCTTTAAAGTCTCTCTTTCCTACTTAAAGATAACTAGCATTTGAGCACTATAGCTTAGCCCAGAGTTTATTGGGCACTTCTAGAAAGCCTTGTTTTGTCTGTCTTCCCTTTAAGCAAGTCATGTGCTTTCCAGGTGGCCCTTAAGAGGGTGTTCTGACCCAAGCTCTTTCTTCACAACCTGAAGAAAGCTGGTCTTCGTGCGTGCATGTGTGGCAGAAACTGAAAGACCAGGTGGCCAGTGCATGTGCGCATGCCAGAAACCAGAAGAGCAGCCACTCGGTGCACATGTGTGCGCTGGGAAGATGATCTTCCGGTTTCCGGCATGCACATGCGCACCAACCACCTGGTCTTCTGGTTTCTGGCACACATGCGAGCGCGAACACCAGCTGGCCAGTGCGCATGCGCATGCCGGAAACCAGAAGATTATCTTACCAGTGCACCCATGCACATGCGGCTGCTCCTCCGGGGTGGCTGCTCCTCCGGTTTCTGGCACGCACATGCGCACCGGTCTTTGCGTGCCCACTGATCAGGTGAGCAGTGCGCATGCACGTGCCAGAAACCAGAAGAGCAGCCGCCCGGTGCACATGCGAATGCTGGGAAGATGATCTTCCGGTTTCCAGCATGTGCACGCGCACGCTCCCGTTTCAGCACTCAGTGCCGCAAAGTTTGCCAACACTGGTAGTCTTTCTGTCAAATACAATTTGGGTTTTACTATATCGCTTTTATGAGGCTCTCTACATGGTTTACACTTCCATTTTGATTACAGAAATCATAAATGATAAAATTCAGATTATACTAGATTATACTGGAGTTTTGATTAAGAAGGATTCAGGATGGTTTATTGTTCAGTTTGTTTCATAGAAGTAGTGTGTATAATCTGATACAAATACCAAGAGAGTGAAGAAAATTATTTTAAACTTGGTATTTCTAGATGTGTTTGCTCACAGTTCTCATGCTACCAGAAGTGTAAATATCTCACATAGCTCTGGTTAATCCTGTTTTACTGTAGTATTTGTAAATTAACATTTCTTTTTTTCAGCCACTTGGGCAATAAAATTAGTTTTATTCTTCCTGTATATTTTTCATTTACAAAACATGTTTTAGGATAAGTTAACCCAAGATAATATCATGACACAAATAAACGGTGTTCATTCACTGCAGTAAACTTGACAACGAAAATAACATCCATTTGGAAGGTTGTAAACTTCACTGAGCCATAAATACATGAGATGGATTTGCATGATCCATCAAGCTACAAAACAGCAAACCCAGTTTAGTGTATTATACAAATATATCTGCTGGTTTTTTACCTGACTTTATTGGTCATGTGTGGACATACAGCATTGCATAAGAGAATATAAGTACTGAATCCTCATTAATACTTGCTAAATAAGTCATATCAAACCTTTTTTTGGAATATTTTAAACAGGAATATTTTTTTGGTCATCCTGGTAAGTGAATACATTTAAATTCCCAAATGGATGTCTTCTGTTACTTATTTCTCATCGTGTTCCCACTAGGGACAATATGATTAACCACTTGCTTAGGTGATTTTTGCATAAATATGATCTGCAAAGACCCGCAACATGGTTCTGGAGATTGCAAAAATAGGTCGCTTCACAAGGTATTACTATTCAGGTACTGGGGCTGAGAAGGCTGGCTTCCCAGTGGAGCTTATCTCCAGCTTCCAGTGGCGTTCATCAACTTCACCTTGAAGGGCTTTGTGGTCCCCTGAGGGCTGGAAACAAAGAGGCTGTGCTTGAATGTGTCACTGACTTCTCCCGGCAAGCTGACTTGGTGGCTGACATCTCTGAAATTTCTTTAGTTAAGCAAAGGAAAAAGCAAAGATGCCTCAGATGGAGAGGTAATTTATAAGTGCCCTCCAACTTTTGTCTGAATGTGACAGCTTTTTCAATAGGCCAATTTAAGCACACATATTTTTAAAAAATATTTCTGCAATTATTTTAAGCACTGAAGGGTTGGCAATAGCTAGGTCTTGGGGAGAGGGGGGGTATTTTTTTAAAAAAAAATAAGGAAACACTTGCCAATTTCAAACAATGCTTAAACAATGTTCCAGTTTGAGATTAGTAGGGGTGTATATAAATACAATCAATTGTATTTTGCTATTCAAAATTGCCGCAATCTTGAGCCTGAGCAAAATATGATTTTGTTGACCAATAATCCAACAACAGGAGCCAGCTAGGATCCCAGTGTGTATATTCTCTGATCAGAACAATTACTGTAGATCTCTGTGCTCCTGTTTTAATTATCTCACTATACTCTTCAAAGCATTTTAAACAAACCACAACCAATATCTCACTAAGAGAATACAGGAGCCTACATACATACATACAACATAAAGAATGTAAGAACTGTAACAGCCATTATGTAGGTCAAAGAGACAGAAGACTAGCAGAACGCATCTATCAGCACCAACAGAAGACATGAAAATTCCTTAATCTCGCAACAGATGGACAGACTCAACCATCGTTTTGATTGGGAAACTGTGAGCATCTAAACCAAGCCAAATCTTAGACCAAGGAATTCTCACAAATCAGCCAACAGTAGACAGCTAAATCATATTTACATATAATTAAAAACAGGCAATAAAACAGGTAAGGGAAAAAAGAGATCCAAACACATCTTTCTAGTAATCAACACCTAGATAAGCAGGGATAAACACCAGACAAACAGGCAGAAAATAATAATCAAGGAACTACCAGGGAGAAACCCGCACCATCAAAACCAGGAGGTTATATACTGTATATAACTAGACAGCAAACCCCGCACTTTCTTACAGTGATACTACCTTCTGTAGTTTCCCAAAAATAAACCCTCCCCCGAAAATAAGCCCTCCCTGGAAATAAGCCCTCCCTGAAAATATTTAACTGCATGTGCAGCCGGTCCCCTCCATTTCCTCTGATTAGGGTTAGGGAGACAGAGCTGGAAATCAGGTAAGGTTGCAAGAGGATCCCCATCTTGCTCCACGTGCCCCAAAATAATAAGACCTCCCTAAAAATAAGGCCAAGCACTTATTTCGGGGTTCAAAAAAATATAAGACAGGGTCTTATTTTAGGGAAAACATGGTAGCTGGGTAAAGAAATGTTTGCAAGCAAACAATTTGGCTCATGAACTCCACAGTTCAACCCAAACCTACGTATATTCTCTTCTATTAGAGGAGATATTCTTTTGCAGAAGAGGAACATTATTGTATTTATTCCTAATCTCTAATCTTATTAGAAATACTATGGTGCACTTTTACCAAAGATATGGAAGACTTGCATGCAAAACAGGTCCTGCTCTTCCAGTCCCCCAATCTCCTTGGCATGACTAACATGGAAACATTCTCCAAAATAATGGAGGCAGGCAGTAGCGTAGAAAATTCAGACATAGTCTAACAAGTGATTTACCTCAAGATATCACTGGTTTCTGCATGCACACATCAAATTAAACTATTATGTGCTGTGTTTGGGTCTGGATTAATATGATAGATGAAACCAGCCATTGTGATTTGAAGACCTTGGCTGATGAGTTAACACTTGGAATGACCCCATTGTGGCTTACTAAGGACTAAAAACAAATAAAACATGTTTAATGTATGTGAACACAGCCAATGACCTATTCTCATATTATGGTTTCTCTGCTGGTTCACAAAGTGATTTTTTTCTTAATAAAAAGATTCCCCCCCCTCCTTTCCACCCCATGCTTAGATTCAAATTAAATTGGCATTTTGAACATAGAGAATGATTGTTCAAACATTGCTAGTGAGATTTAAAACATTGTTTTCCCCAATCCAGTGGGGGAACTCTTAAATACCTACTCCTTGATGGTATATTCTATCTAATATCTGAATTTGAATGGGTTTATTTCCTTCCTGGGTGTCCCTTAGGGTGCTCAACATGCATCACGCTGACAGAAAGACTTCTGATTAAAAAGATTCATTCGTTTATCTGGTTCATTTTTCTCAAGTCTAGCTCCTTTACGGCATAAAATTCCCCAAGAGCTTTTCATTTACTTTACTCAACAAGGAAGATGAATTTTCATAATGAGGTGTCTCCTGTGTTTTTGCAATTGTCCAAGAAATTGTGTCACTTACATTTTTCTCTTTATAATGTGTTCTCTATGGGCAAGATGGTGGTAATGGCAAAACTGAACAATTGCAATAGAAATCGAAGGAAAAGAAAGC